TTATGCATTGTTCGCAATTGTCAGTTGAATTATATGAAAATGCCCTTCTGTTTTTATGCTCGATATCTAGCTCGAATTGCGAGTAAGTTTGTATATATATGCGTGCCAATCTTTTTTTTATCTCTGGCACATCGAAGAGTCAGAATTCAATTTTACATCAACACGTTTTTATTTGTTTCTGCACAACTAAGCTCATGACGAAAAAAAAAATCATGATCAATTCTTTTACAACTGAAAAACACGTCCCAAAACTTTGAAGTGTTTTTTTCTATTCTATTTTTATCCGAAAGTTTTCCAATTGAACCGTATCATCTATGATAAATATCTAATGGTTTTTATAAAACCACATGACTATTTTTTTAAAATATCTCATTAGACGTATAATGAAGTAAAAAGTGCCAAAAGGGGTTCTATCTTAACATTTATCAAGTATTTTCATTCAATGTGATTAGTTGGAATATATATGTGGATATATACAGTTCTCAGTACCTACAAATCAACATTCGGTTGGTGTGCCTGTGATTTATTAGGTAATTTTAACCTTTTCAAGCCACCAACAAACATGGTACACATACATAAATAGCAAGATAAATCCTTTGCACATTTGTTGCCATTATTTTCACATTTTCCTCCATTTGGTGTGGAATTTCTTTCTGCACATTTGGAATTTAAAAATTGGATTCGTTCAAGTAAGCAAGCGAGACGCGTGTATGTTATCGGACCATTTTGCAATAGGATGATTTTAAGCAACCTTAAAATGCAATCAATAGTTTAAACGGCTGACTTGACAATGTTTCCATTAAAATTCCAGATTTCAGTAGCATTGTTTGTGGTTCATGACAATGTGTCGCATTTCTCTTTTTTAATATAAGAAAAACCAAATGGACAATTTACATAAGCAAAGTTTTCTGAAATATGAAAATCAAATGAGCTTGATTCATTGGTAAAATAAGGATTTATTTCACTGGGTGAAAGTATTTTTCAAAATATTTTTGTAGGATAAATTACAGGCATTTTTTCAATTGTACAATCGACTTTTTGCATATAAATTCCAATAATATGCAATCACAAATTCCCTTTCATCTAATGCAAACTTGTGGAAAAATTTACGATCAAAAAGGGTCTTACATTTTTTTACCAAAAACCAAAGTAAATGGAAAGAATTTTCCAAACCGTATAGAAGTAAAGCCTCCTCCAATTGATATTGAGAAACAATGCAATTGAGAAATAAAGTGAATAAATAAATACTCACAAAAAATTAAAAAAATAAAACATATAAATTCAAGTATACTTATTCGGTCGAATATATTATGTTAGCGTCAACAAAAGAAGAAAAAAACATAATCTTTTAATACATACTTCATTTCGAATAGCTTGTAAATTTGTAATAATACTTAAAATTGATTATAAAAAAAATATCATCAGAGCGTAAATCTTTAAATTCGTGCATACAGTACAAGAAATTGGTTGTATCTGTTTTTTTGTGGTTTTTCCCCTTCAAGACAATTCAATATATTTTGAATGGTTGAAAAAAATTGGCTGTTTTAGAATCTCAAAATTTATCTCCGTATTATGCAAAATGAAGGAACCCAATCAAAGTAGACTTGATATTGTATTCCATGGAAATGGATGAATCTATACTATAAAGTTTCTCCGAGTCAGAGAGCTAGCCACATTCCTACATTGAATTTATTGCCAAAGTAAGCCCCGAATTAAAGAAAAAACACATTTTATAAATCTCAAATTATTCGGTTAGTTTTTGGTTTTGATTCGTACCAAAATCGCGTGCTAATTTAAAATCGAGAATATTCACTGCGCTTATTGTTAGACAAATGCTTACTGACTCAACTGAAAGACGTAAAACATATAAATTCTTATTTGATTTTTTTTTTGCTCACAAAATTAACTACTCTGTTGCTCGGTTTTTTCGAATGTTTAGTATCATTCTTTGGCTTGCTCTCATTTCCAAGAGTACAATGTCAAAATCGGTATATTTTCTTCGTGAATGCATCGTTTTAATGCGGGAACGAAATTGGTAACTCCGTTACGTGAATATAATCCAATTCAAACGATTTTGGATCCGATTTGTTTTGAAAAGTTCGCTATTCGTGCGAATAAACACGTTCAAGTCATTTATATCTATAGATATATAAAAACCATAGCTGGAAGGTAGAATGAATCGAGCGCAGTCATATTCTTCGATGGTTAGTTTATTGCATTTTATTGTAAATGATTGCTTATGTTTAGAGATGTAACACAGATTTCCCTTATACCTTCGATCGTCTTTTACATATTTGCGTAAATGTATGTGACTTCAGTTCACACACGACGAATGCAAATTATGTAATTGGGATTCGATCAAGTAATTTGTTGGAAAGTTGCGAATTACATATCCTGTTTCGAGCTACGTGTTATACAAATATATTTCGTGTTTTTTTTAACGAAGGAGACGTTCTTTAGGTGTGTGGCAGCTTCACGCTTGATTTGATTTCTTACTTCATTTTCACCTATAAATTTCATTTAGATGAAGAAAATCAGAGTCGCTGATTTAAACATCGAAATGGAACACGTGCATGTAATCATGCTCATCTCCTCGAAGCAATTTTATGTCATGTGCTTTCCGTTGCCAGTGAGAGAAAAATTGTTGAAGAGAAAAAGGCATTTGCATATGTTTAAATTTGATTCATGTGCTTCAACTGATCATGCACAGTCAAAGTTTAAAAAATGAACTCGAGATAATATTCCAACTTCGAAAAGAGTAATCGTCTGCATGTAAACATGAATGCTTAAATTGCCATGTTTTTCCATTGGAGCAAAAAGATTTATTTTAAGATATTCATCAAATAAGTCAAGTTTTTTTTCTGGAAACTTCACGAAGCGGCAAACAAACCAAATTTAACAGATTGAATCAACACTGTCTCACTTTACTGGAAGTGGGAAAATTGAATAAAATTACACCAACAAATGGTGAATATGACTTTTGGCCATTATAATAATTTTGCCAAAATAAATGATTTAAAAACTCTCATCGGAAATAAATTTACACAATTGTGTGCTGCAAAATCTTCTATGTTTAAATTTTTAAATTGAAACTGTATTAGAAAATCAGTGCAAGTGACATACGATTCTTAAACTGACTTTATGTCTGTGATCAAGTCTCTTTGAACTTTTTCAAAGCTGTCGTTATTTACAAAAAGTGCTTTAAAGCGCGTTATTAACGTTTAATTTTTTTCAATCAGTGATATTTTTGTTGAAAAAACCAATTGTGGAACTTATTAAAAATATATTTAAGATTTCGATATCGATGAATAAATATTCTTGGAAAATTCAATAAACCTATTCATTTCACGGATATTTTCATGAACAATGAAATGACTATTTAAACTTTGTCGGGAATAAATGGTCGAAAATGAATATAATTGAAGTTGAAATTTTCGAGTTTGTTATCTAGGTGAAACAGGCAAATACTCATCTAATGTTTGGTAGCTGTTTACTATAATACGGTTTCTGTAATGCGTGTGAGTTGGTCCTACACAAATTTTAAACTAAAGTAAGTGCAACAGAACAATGGATTACTGTGGCCGTGCCTATGCGAGAAAAACCGACTAAATAGCATTTCACTATGGTATAAAATGTCGTGTTTCATGTACTCTTTCATTGTTTACAAGCGGTAGGCATTAGCATCGTATCTAATACATGCATTCAAATGTCAGAATCTTTTCTGATGCGCCCTCTGCCATCAAATATTCCGCGCCAAGCAACTAAGAGAATGGCTGTCATGTATGACATGCACATTCTCAAAGCTATATATTTTCGTACGTGCTCTCTGTAAGGTAAGACATTAAAACGAAACTAAGAAATTTTGAACCAACAAAACTAAAAAGTGTGTCGAAATTATAAATTTTATTTAATTTTTCATGAACATTTTGTTCATATTATTTGTTTTTCAAAGGTTTTTATAAATTATTTCACGCGATTTCACGAAATAAATTGAATTTTCAAGGAATACTCAAATTGAATCAAATTTCAATAAACTAAAAGTAAGTGTGTTACAACTTGGATTTTTATATTAAACTCAAGTCTGTCTAGTCTACTATATGATTCGATGGGAATAAAAGCGGGAATAAAAAAAAGTGATTCTGAAGAATGCAACATTTGATTCTTTTTGTATAGAGATTTCTATGTAATCTATCTATTCTTACGGACACATATGTATATAATTATTAAATTAATGTGTATAATTATTAAATTAAAGATAAATAAAATTATTTGTGTATTTAGTGGTCAAAACACGTGGCATGGAAAAAGTCGAACGTGGTGAAATTCAGTTAAATATTACTGAAACTTCATCAGCCTTGAATAACTCACAACCAACGCCAAGTACTTCTGGTGTTCGCGGTCGCCCACGTGGTCGTGGAAGAGGTGGTCGTGGACGAGGTGGTCGTGGACGAGGTGGCCATGGTGGAGTTGGTCGCTCAACACCAAATGCCAGTGTTCGTGCTCAACCTCGTGGTCATCAAGTGATTACTGTGCCAATCGATTTAAGCCCGTATGTTGCCAACTACGATGAACGTCGTAGTCGACGTGATGACTTTGACGATCGCTCCCGGTCTCGTCACCGTAGTCGTCATTCTGGTCGACATTCTAGTCGTCATCATCGACATCGTCATGGTCATCGTGATCACCAAAAACGCCGCCGTGACTATGCAAGCTCATCTGAATTTGACAGTGATGAAGAACGTAATTATCGGCGCCATCAAAAGAAACGAGCACGTTATTCATCATCGTATTCGTCTTCATGCTCGTATTCGTCGCTTTCTCCAGTGGTTCAAAAACCATTGAAAACGTACTTGCCAGCAAAGCGAACAAACCGCGCCAAAAGTTTGCACGTTGCATCTGTACCAATTCCTGTACAGGAATCGTACGCGCCAGCCAAGCGAACAAACCGTACCAAAAGTGTGCACATTGTATCTGCACCAATTCCTGTACCAGCCAAGCGAACAAACCGTACCAAAAGTGTACACGTGTCATTTCCCGATTCATTGCCTGCTTCATCACCAATTGAAAAACCGAAAGCCGCAAAACGCACTCAGCGTGCATTAAGTAAGTTTTTTGCCCAATTTTAATAATAGTGACGATGGTAACTGCACCAAACAGCGTTCCGATTTTTAGTTTAATTATTGATAAATCATTTGTGGACTAACTTCTAAATCAATTAAATTAATACCACTGTTTGTTTTTTACTATGCGCTAATTTATAATAGCTTAAACTGTTTGATAATGTTTATCATAACTTCATAGTTTTAATACTTCGTTTTTTTTTTAATTTATAGCCATTGATGTACCGACAAAACGAACTTTGCCATGGTTGCCAGAAATACCACCATTCAAACCAGGGGTCAGTGGTATTTTGTTGAATGGCGGAAAACGAATGGATGATAGTACAGCGAAGAGACCACCACCAAATCTTTTACCAATCGCCACAACTAAATCCACCACTGAACTTCAACAAAATGAGCAACAGGCCGAGGTTTTGCAGACACAGATCAGCTTGAATGCTAAACTCATGAAAGAAGTCGATGCTCTCAAAGAGGAACGGTCGCAATTGTTGAAAACAGTCGAGCAGTCGAACAAGGAAAAGGAGGTTTTGAAAATGAAGTTGGTGCGATCAAGCGAGCAACTCGAATATTTAAAGAAAAAGTTGGCCAAGAAACATGATGAAAACATCGATCCAAATTTTGGGGCAATCAATGCAATCCAGTTGGCAAAGAACAATGATGTCAACAACGATGTCGTCAAAGACGTTGTCAACACCGATGCAGTCGATGCAAACACCACAAAATAAATTTAATGTCGTTTCTTTCATTCCAATTAAATGATCTCTCTACGTGTCATAAAAACTTTAAATTAATTAATTTAAAAACTAAAAATTTATACCTAGTATAAGCTAGAAATCAAAATTTGTGATAAGAATAAATTATTCGCAGATTAGATGAGATTAGAGAAATATGAAAACGACTGAATCGAAAAATAAAAAGAAATAAAAAACGAATTTATTCGAAATGGTGAGCTGTTTTATTTATTATAAAATTATTTTTAAATGTTTTAAAAGAACCATTTGCTACAGTAAAGATCATTATTTTCATTTGCCTCCATCGGCTTCCATTTGGTTATTGGAATAATATTTATTGCACTTTTGCATTCCACATTCGACACAATTCGTCATCTTTATGGAATACTGTCAATGTAACAGCAAGAATCAGATTGCAACTCAGTTGGTCTGATAAGTATGAATATATTTACTTCAGTTCAGCTGCTATTTCGAAGGTTTTATTATGCACGTAATTATTACCACGATTTGGAACAAACGGGAACAAATATTCTGTCGTGCCTTAATATCAAGCAAGAAATATCAATCATTAAATTTAAATCAACTTAAATCTATAACATTTTCCCTATCTTTATGGATCTTTTTTACCACATTTATTTTTATTATTTTTATATAATAAATTCGAATACCACGAAATACCATCATCAATCCAATTGTGAACAAATGAATTTTAAAAGTTGAAATTTATTCTCCCAATTGTTGAACCAACTTTTTATAATAGTTTCGCGATGGCAAATCATCATGTTCCTTCGATGTCATAGACTTGGCCAGTTGAACAGATTTGGATTTTAGATAAAGGTGCACAATTTGTTTGACGAAGGTATATTTATGACCGTGTTCTGAATGTGTCTCAAAGTTCGTTGTTGCATACAGATTTTCGAAAGATATTTTCCGTAGTATTTCTATCGTTGCACTCTGGAAAGAGATATTCTTTCCCTCACACTGTTTCAAAAA